TTACTCAAGTTTTGCTGGTGCTTAAGTAGTTGTCTTTGACTCAAATAAGACATTTTATGCAGATGTCAAAGAAGAATACTGATGCATGTTTAATTGTATCATAACATAAATATTAAGATTTGAGATTATAAATTCACATTATCAAATAGCCACAACAATAATTTTTTTGGACAAGTTTCCGTATGAAACCAACTATGCCACACTTAAGTTGCATTAAAGATATGTTCAGAAGTTAGGTAAATCATCATAGGCAACTCCACAAAAGCATGCAACTAAAAAACCCATAAAACATTTGAGCTAAAGTAGCTAAGATTTCCATTTTCTGATACAAAAAGTGTTACCATATTTGGCTCGTGGGAAAGATACAGCCACAAGAGGAACCAAATGGGGTTGCAATGAGCGGATCCAAAATAATCTGGTCACAACCTGTCAAAGAACTCATGTTAAAATGAGTGCATAATCATTTATATACTAGGAGGGCAAATGAAAAAGCTTTACTGCAAAAAATCATAAAGTCCAATCAGGTAAAGTCATTATTTGACAGCATTTAAAGCTTTACTTTTGCTATAAACATGAAAATTCAGGACCATCACAGTAGTTCAAACCATTACACTGCCACCCTGCCGAAATGTGAAGAAGAAAGAAACACTTTTATGATGGCAATGGCAACTTAACATAGGGGGAAACTATAATTTAAGATAACCGATTTGTTTTTCCATGCATTTTTGTATAAAAAATCAAAATACAAGTACAAAACTTTCTTCTACATAAGCCCGTCTGCATTTCATGTCAATTTATCAGCTTATCACCATAATCGAAGAACGTTATAGTTTTAAAAACATTGTGAGAAGGTAGTAAAATCATAAAATTCATTTTATTCGGTTACAAAGAATAAAATCATTTCTGTGCTTTACTTAAACAACTAAGTAGACATGAAGAAAGTAAAGAAAAACATGCGCAGTCATGCACATGCATATATCTAGAGAGAGGTTGTAATGCCAAGTGTAAAACAATGAGTTATTGAGATTACTCAATACGAATGGCACATCAAGGAAGAAACAAATTAAATAAAGAAGTACTTATTCTAATTATGAGCAAGCAATGCCACCTTTAGACAGGTCAAATTACAAAAAAGGAAAGAACAATTCAAGACAAAAAGAAAAGAATTAGAAGAAGGAAGCAACTCAAAACTGAACATTTACACATAAAATCAAATAACTTCATAAACGTAAGAACATGAAAAAAATGAAATTTGGATTCTCCATCAGTGTAAGAATGCTACCTTGGAGAGGGATAGAGACATTCATAAAGATTCAAATTATCAATGATCCACGAACAGAGATGCATTCATAAAGTTATATGAAAAATTATATGAAATGAAAAAGAACTCCAAACCTTTGTTTTCCCTCTTCTTTGACTCAGGACTGAGAGCTTTCTTTACACAATAAAACCAATTCCCATCCCTTCCCATCTTCTCGGCATTCCTTGATTGTTTCCTTTAACATAAAAATTGAGAATTTAAAATCTTGAATCAATCCTATCAATATCATAATTTAGCTTCATATGGATGAATCATATCCTCAGTGCATTGCAATATTACCACCTTACTAACTCCAAACACAATTCAAAAGCAGTCAAAGTTGAGTTCAGATGGAAGAAACAGAGCTTGAGGATCCATGACAAACACAACATTGCAAACCAATTGTCCAATTCATTTGTCATATTTACATTGCTAATAAAAAAATACGATACAACAAAAATTTACCTAGAAGCTTATGGACATAGTGACAACCCTAAAAAGCAAATAGGATCTTGTGCCACATTGTTGATTTTAAGAATTCCAGAAAAGATGAGATATATATTCTCAAACAACTTCAAAGATTTAAATGAACAACTACAATTATACAAAATTAAGATCCAAACCTTTCAAGTAAGCATCTTATACAATTGGTTTCCAAACATGCACCAATGCCAGGCACCTTATTCATTAATGATTGTGAAAATCAAGATACGAGATTTTGTTTTTCTTGCAGGAATTAAATTCATTTTCGATGACAGGAGAAAGATAAATGCAGACAATGAAGTAAAATTTATTCAAAATCAAGACAGAACTTAGCCCTACAGAGATAGTCCATGTTTTGTGGGGATGATAGAGAAGATATCATGAAAAATCTTTCCCCAGTGGTTTTGCAGAAATAAAAATCTCTAAAGATCATGCACACAAATGCTTCACTTCTGACATTATGCATGAAGTTGTAAGAATGAAAAATAAGGAGATGATAGCTGAACAACAGTTCATCATCTTCTTTCCGATATACATACATGTGGAGCATAATTTTTTTCTTAAGTTGTGACTACCAACTGCTTATGAGATCCTTTAGTGAGTCACAAATGTCTTTAAAACCAAAACTATATGGCAGCGTAATTTCTCAAATAAGAAATGAAGGATGAGTATTGAGAAATGAAGGTTGATTGCAGGAGAAACTCATGATGCCTTGTGAAATGAAGTATTAAAATCACAAGTTCCAAGAAAGCTAGAGTATACTGAAATTGATAAGCATTACTATGAGGCGTGGTAAAACAATAACAAATAATATACCTTCAAAACAGAAAGATAAGCATATGAAAGACTGGTGCATTTTCCCGTCATTGCGATTCTAACCTATGTAGCATATGATAGTCGTGAGCTAAATATTTGGCAGTTCAGAAAATCAAATATCAATTCATTTCTTATAGATTTAATTTATTGACACACAGATTCTCTTAATGAATCATAATTTTTTTTCTTGCATTCCACTCCTCCAAATTGGTCTCAATAGCAACATTGTAAATATTAAATGGTTACTAATCATTGAAAAAAGTTCTAGGAATATTCAATGCTACCTTATTTAATAGTTTATAACAGTTTAATGTTAACAAAAAAAATCATTTTATAAACCCTTGTTTATAGTAATAGTGTGTGTATACTATATGAAAAAGAATGGCGAGTGTGATTAAAATACTAATACACGGAGGGAGGCAGATCCTCTCATAATTCTCTATATCCTAATCTAATCTCCACCCTTGAATAATAATTAATTGGTTTAATTGTTCATATTTAATTGTTCTTTTACTAACAAATTTAATTGTTTTATAAAATAATTATCATATAAAAAAGAATAAATTTAAATTGTTAAAATTTGACTTGCCCAATTTAAAGTTGCATATTTTTATTGAAATTTTTTATAAATTAAAATTTTTTTTCATTTTATTTCAGTTATCAATTGAGCAGGGTTAATTTTAACCATTTAAAATTATTTATTTATTTTACTAAAATCATTTGGTAAAATTAATTGAGGGAGTTGAATCAGTTTATCATGCGATCTCTAATTTAAATTTTAAAACATACAATCACATTAAATAAATATGAAAAAAGGTATCTCAAAATACATGTGAAGCTGCCGTTGATAATACAGTCCCACCCAGTAGGAATTCATATTAGCTTGGCATTCCTTATCTAATCTAATAGTGGAAATGGGATGAGGAGAATTAAAAAGAAAAAAAAAAGAAAAAGACAAAGAGGGCAACCTAGGGCCGCTGGGAGTAGGGTTGTGCAAAGGATCCGGACTTCTAAAACAAGCGCCAATGGGTGCATAAAGAGGGAGCTACTCGTGGTAGAACATTTACTTTGTTTACATGGAAGAGTCAAAATCATGTGACGCAGAGATTAATAAACGTATAAATAATAATACAAGGGGGATTCACATACTTAGGGATTAAGCGAGGGAGTAAGTAAGGGGAAGAAGAGAAGCTTGAGGAAGACAAAAGGAAGAGGGACGGATGGGATGAGATTCGTGCTGGCTTGATATCAGGGGAAGATGGGGCCATCTGATTAAAGACTCCACTCCCACCCAACTAAATAATTGTGGTAGTGGCGGATCTTCTATCCACTCTATGGCCCCATGCCTTTTTCATTATTCGTGCCTCACATTGCTGGGCTAGCACCACATCTAATATTATATCATGCGTCTATTTTGAAGTGCCCAGCAGCAGCATGTGACATGCATTCCCTCATTGCCATTTAAATACGTGGCCTTGCTCTTTTTCCACTCTCCTTTACAACTCCCACCAGGAAAGCAGGCGGTTATGCTGCAAAAAAGAAAGCCTTCAGTCATCAACAAAGGTTCAGGTTCCTGACTCCAATGCCTACTCAACGTTTGACCTCCAACTAGATACCAGTGCTAGTCTTGTAGGGTGAAGACTCGCTGTTCAAAGAGAATTAGAAAACAAGACTGGGTTGAATCCCAGCATTCATGTTTAATTTGATGAATAATACATGATTGAGAAGAAGGGAAGAAGCCAGATTTCAAAGAAACATTTTTTCTACTTTATTTGCATCTACTATAGCATGGCTCCGCCGACCAGAAATAGGGGCGAAGCAGCTGAACTGACATACAAATCGACCACACACCCTCGTGGCAGTCATCACATTCACACATTCACGTTTCTTTCTTTGTTTTTTCTTCCGGAGTTGTCAAAATTCAAGTTCTGTTCATTTCATAATTTCATCAAGTGTGAACCGTGACCACGAAATTTCTCATCTACCTCGGATTTCTTTTTGCTAGGGTGAATACTTGTAACTTGCTGAGAATCTGTAACGGATCAGACTGAGTGAACTCTGTCATGAACTACAAAACAATTACAATACGCAACCGGGCCGGTGTTTCTGGAAACTAACTTGCTCTCCACAATGTTTTATGAAAAATAAAACAAGGTAATAATAGAAACACAAGTTAACAGAGAAAGAGTAGGGCAAGGGAAAGAACCAAGGAGACGGAAGAGAAACTCCCAAAGATGAAGACATGTCACGTGTCTTTTTGGTTCCCGTGAGTAGTTGGCAAATTCAGCACAAACTCAACAACTTCGACTCATGCAGTGTAGGCATGCACTCTGCCATTTGTACTATGTCCTTACAAGTGTCAAAAAACAAAACACGTGCCACTGAAAATCTTGACACCTCCTCCTATAAAGAGGTAGCTACGTACCTTCGGCAAGCCGAAAAGCACGGTGAATTCATTTCACAAATGAAGCATCGAAGAGCTTTGCTGGATTCGCCATTTTCATTTCTCGTGGTCTTCTTGCTGCTCCCGCTTCCCTTGCATGGGAAGGCTTCGAGTTCTGAGAATGTCACGAAGGAAGAGGGTCCTGTGATTGGAAAATCTGAGTGGAGAGGACTAACAAGCACCGAATATGGAGAGGTGTCTGCCATTGACGTCAAAGATGGACGCAGACCACCCTTCCATCTTCAATTCTTTACACTGGAACCCAATTCTCTCTTCCTTCCTGTTCTTCTTCATGCAGACATGTTCTTCTATGTTCAGACAGGTACCTTGGCTCTCCGTTGTCGACTTGTTTTTCTCTAGCTCTTACGTTTGGGCATGTTTCATTTTCCACCCTAATAGTAAATATACGGTGAAACTCTTGAATTTTGCATGACAAAAACTTATTTTGGAGTACATGTCACGCATAACGTTGCCAACACTTTTCACTCATGAAAGGCAATCAGAATTGCATTGTTAATAATACTCTTTCAATTTTACTACAAATTAAAATTGAACTTAGAAGCTCAGTAATCCTATTCTGACAACTTTAGTTTTTACTCCATAATCTCATATCAGAGCATGAGCCATGGTATGAACAAATTTATCATAGACATTGATAATTAATTATTCTTATGTCATGTAAAATTGATGAGCAAAATTTAAAATATGTAAGTATATATTATTTTTTTTATATTTATATAAAATTAAATATAAATATTTCAACCCCTAATAAAATTTTTTGGGCTATGAAGCACAAATACTGATACGTGTATAGGATACCATATGTATCTGGTATTTTGATACTTTTATTTTTTTAAAATATATGATACAATGCATTTTCGATATGTGCATATGTATTCATAAAAAATAATAAAAAATATCAAAAGTATAATTTTAATTTCAAACATATCCAAAATAGCATGCATATATAGTCCTATAAAATAATATCAAGAAAAACATAATCATAACTTATACTTTTATTCTATCTATATCTAATTATTTATTTTTTAGTCTCTGCTAATAGTTCCTTACCTAGGGTTTAAATGCCAAAAGATTATATCTCTACGTTTTTATAATTAAAAAAATATTTTTTTTATTTTTTATTATATCTACAACTTATTTTTCAAGAAAAATCTAATTTTTGATTTTAAAAGAAAATCACAAAAATATATTAAGAACAAAAAAGATTAATAATGCAATATTTAACAAAATTTAATTTCTAATTAAAATTAAAAAATTTATATTTTAATACTCTATGTATTAAAGAAATATCGGTGTCCCATACGAGAGGCAATTTGATGAATGGTACTTGATAGGCTCCACCCTTGGATATGAATCAACCTCACCGCCACGTTGGATGGTTTCCTGAGTTTCAGGGAGTGGAAAGCTGACCTGGGCATATGATGGTGATACTGGAACGGTAAATCTACGTCGAGGTGACATCTGCATGATTGGCACAGGCTTCGTTTTCTACTTACAGAGCAACTTGGAGGCACAGAGACACAAACTTCGGGTTCTTGCAATTTTCCCCAACTCGGTTGATAACCATTACGTAAGATCAGCTTTTCATATTCTGCACACATATCCTTTCACTGAAGGTACATAACTGTACTGATGAAGTTCCTAAGCTCTGCTAGCTGTTTGTTCGACCTGAACCTTGAACACAGGACCCGGCAATCGGTGCTTATTCGAGAATCAATGAACTGGTCGGCGGCTTCAACAAAAAAATCATGCAAGCAGCTTTTGGGGTATATATATATATATATATATATATATATATAACTAAATGTAAAATAGAACTGATGAAAAAGAACAAAGGCAAATATTGAGATAAAGATTTTATCTAGTTTTAGCAAAGAACACTTTTCAGGAACTGGCTTAACTATTAATCAACGGCAACGGTTGGCGTTTTTATTTTTTGAAGGTGCCGGAGGAACTGGCCGCAGTAATTTCAAACATAACTGAGACCCCCGCAATAGTGCATGCTGTTTCGAAGGATAAAAAGAATATATTGGGATTGGAAGCTTGGATTCTAAACAGAGCATTAGGTGGTGATATCGCCACTGGCGTGTCTACCAACAAGAAGAAACCCCGAACATTCAACGTCTTTGACAAAGATCCTGACTTTAAGAACTGTCACGGGTGGAGCCTCATGGTGACCCTAAAACATTTGAAATCATTAGAGCAGATTGATGTTGGCTTCCTCGTGGTGAATTTGACCGCGGTTGGTGATTCACATTAATTTGTTTTTTCCATTTTGGTCAAGCTTTTAGGTTTGTGTTTTGGTTATGTTAACTCATTTTCCGGGTAATGATTACACAAACAAGGGAGCAATGATGGGGCCACACTGGAATCCACTGGCAACAGAGGTATTAATGGTATTGGAAGGGGAAGGCATGGTTCGTGTCGTATGCGGGAACAGCAATATGAACAAATCTGAATGCCAACACAGGAGGTTTAAGGTGAAGCAGGGAGATGTTTTCACGGTTCCTAGGTTTCATCCAATGGCTCAAATGTCTTTCAACAACGACTCTCTGGTTTTTCTGGGCTTTAGCACCACAACGAAGAAGACCTATCCTCAATTTTTAGTGGGAACAAGATCAGTGGTACAAATTATAGATAAGCGCATACTGGCAGCATCTTTCAACGTGAGTGACGGAACAATTAAGCAGCTGTTGCAATCTGAGGTAGGATCCATCATATTGGGGTGTCTGTCATGCGCAGAAGAGGAGGAAAGGATCATGATAGAAGAAGAAGCCAAAAAGAGGGAAGAGGAAAAGAGGAGAGAGGAGGAGGAAGAAGCAAGAAAAAGAGAAGAGGAAGAAGCTAGAAGGAGAGAAGAGGAGGAAGCAAGGAAGAGAAGAGAGGAAGAAACCAGAAGGAGAGAAGAAGAGGAAGCAAGGAGAGAGGAGGAGGAAGGCAGAAGTGAAGAAGAGGAAGAAATCACAAGGATGCATCTGTATTAACTGCACGAGATGAATTAACAGGGATCCATGTGCTTGAGGGACACCAAATCTCCAATTATACTCCGCTCCAAAATAAAAATAAAAAGCCTAATATGCGTGCGTGTGTGAAAGAGAGCGAGGATGCAATGGATGTTTAAATTTTTAGAAAACATGTTCTATCTATGCTGCAATGACACAATCCCAGAGTTCTTATAATTAGTTATATATTATGTTGTTGCTTTGTTTTGAGCTTTCATAACATCATATCTCCTACCCTTGCTGATAAAATCATGGCATTTAACCGCCCAGCAAGCGACATTGTGCGATTAACTGAGGATCACCATCATAATTCACTTTTCATATGCTTGAATTAAGCTGTTCTCTCATAGACCCTTGAGCATCAAAACTGTAAACCATGCTAATAAATTATTGTCATCTTTCATTTTGTATTAGCCTAAAGCATTGCCTTTCCAATATCAGTAACATTAGCTAATGGAAAAGGAAATTTGAGAATATCGTCCCCCAGAGTTTTTGGATTGTACAAATTCAAAATGTTCACATTCCATTTTCCTCGTTCATGCGGCATAAGATCAGCAACTGTCATGACCAGACAGAAATATTCATGCCATTGCCAATTATCCAGCCCAATCTTTGAGTAATTACATCAGCACCCTTCCATAGCGATGATTGCTCTGATCTGTGACAGAGAAACCGAAGGAAAGAGATATTTTGGTTTAATGGTGGAAGCTAACATAGAAAGATTGAATGGCTTGTGAGAATTTTGTCGGCAAAATAGCTTTATTAAGCACTACGGATATCACGATGAGCCAAAAATTACCTAACACGGGTGGCAGTCCAATGGCATGTTACTGTCACAGAATTTAAAGCCGGCCTTATCAAGGCTAATTTTCCTGCTTGGGACAGTAACAAATATTTCTATTTTCTAAGCTTGGACTTTAGATCATTTTACCTGACTTGTCCACGACCTCTTGATACGAAGATGATTTTTACCCCTGTCAAAATCATCGTCAGCACCCAAGTATTTCCCAATCCTAGAATCAAATTTGACACCTTGGAGGTTCTTTTTAACTTTCAGGATTCACAGATGGACTGGAAACCGCAACCCACTCTTTAAAATTCATTCTATATCCAGATTTGCTTTTTTTTTTTTTGGTCAATTATATCAAGATAAGTTGCCATACAAGCTGAGGATAGAATTCACATGGGCAGCAGCAGTGATCTTATCCACTTTGAAAAATATTTTCAATTAAATTTCAACCATTGAATTTTTTTCCAGAACTAGTATGATAAATGTATAATCTAATTACAAATTATATATTATTTATTAAAATATGACACTCATCCTATGCCCTGTTACCCTTGGAAGACTTCTACGTAGTTCGAGGAGTTTGGCTTTTATCATGTAGCCTTCCTCCCCCCCCCCCCCCAAAAAAAAAACAATTGTATCCTTATTTTTAAAAGATGAAGAAACTAAGAAATTGTGTATATCCATAATATTTTTCATAAAACAGGTAAAAGGGTTGAAACCGGCCACGAATCTAGGGGGGGCAAATTTCACTGCCCTTGGGAAATTTTTTTTATTTTTCTTATTAAAATTGTAAAAAATAGTGTTTGACCCCCCATACTTTAAATACTTTTCAATTCCCCCCCCCCAACCCAAAAAAAAAAAAAAAACACATCTGTTTCTGGATTCGTCACTGGGTGAAACAGCTAGACCGACAGGACATCCACAACACGGACAACTCTCCCCTGTCGCACTCTTGAAAATGACAAATTCATGTTTTTCTCCGAGTACTCAAAATTAAAGTTATGTTCCTTTCTTAATTTTGTAATGAGTTGTTCAAGATATCAGTAAATTAACCCATAAATTAGATTAGATTTGGGATCAGACTGGGTAAACTCAACATCTTGGATTCACAAATGACCAGAGGGGGAAAAAAGTTGGACTCATGCAGTATAGGCATGCACTCTGCCATTTGTACAATGTTCTTACACGTGTCAAGTAACAAAAACACGTGCCACTCGAAATTCTGACACTCTTCCTATATAGAGCTTGCTGTCTTTGGGAAGCCGAAAAGCGAACTGACTTGATTTCAGAGATGAAGCATCAAAGAGCTTTGCTGGCTCTGCCATTTTCATTTCTCTGGTTCTTGTTGTTACTCACCCTTTCCTTGTACGGGAGGGCTTCGAGTTCTGAGAATGTCACGAAGGAGGAGAGCCCTGCGATGGGAAAATCTCAGCGGAGAATATTAACAAGTACTGAATATGGAGAGGTTTCTGCCATTGATGTCAAAGATGGACAAAGACCACCCTTCCATCTTCAGTTCTTTACACTGGAACCCAATTCTCTCTTCCTTCCTGTTCTTCTTCATGCTGACCTGCTCTTCTATGTTCACACAGGTACCTTCCTTAACCTAGCCTCTCTATTTTCAGCCTAATTTTCTCTAGCTATCACCTTTTGGGCATGTTCATTCTTCACTCATACCCAAATAATATTCGGAGCTCTTTTCTTCATTTAAACAGTAGAAGAAAGAAATTCCTGTTTCCCTTTAATTGACTTCTATTCAGTGATCTAATATTGCTAAATGGTAATAACGAGTGACATTTACTGACAAAACAATTCTAATACAGTGAATCTCTTTAAGTTTTACGTGAAAGATTTGTTTTAAGTGCATGCCAATAACGTTGCTAAGACTGCTTGTTCCTGAAAGCTGATCAGATTTATATTATCAATAATACTCTTCCAATTTTACTACAACTTTAATAACTGCTAGAGACAAAATAGAACTTTAAAACTCATGCCAACGTTGAATTGCTTGAGTTTCAGGGAGTGGAAGGCTGATTTGGGCATATGATGGTAATACTAAAACGATAAGTCTACGTCAAGGTGACATCTGCATGCTCCGAGCAGGCTTTGTTTTCTACTTACAGAGCAACTTGGAAGCACAAAGGCAGAAACTTCGGATTTTTGCAATTTTCCCCAGCTCGATTCATAACCATTACGTAAGATTAGCTTCTCAAGTTGTCCAGACATTTAATTGAAGTTACATAATTGTACTCACAAAGTTCCTAAGCTATGTTAACTGTTTGTTCAACGTGAACCGTGAACCCAGGACCCAGCAATCGGCGCTTATTCCAGAATCAATGAACTGGTGGGAGGCTTCGATCAGAAAATCGTGCAAGCAGCTTTTGGGGTATGTGTGTGCGTGCGTGTGTGCTCATGTGTATAACTAAATCTCTAAAATTAAATTGATCAAAAAGCACAAAGGCCAAAATTCAAGTACAGGTTTTTATCAAGTTCTAGCAGAGCACAAGTAAACTATTGTAACATTTTCCAGGAGCTGGCACAATTATTAATCATGGGCAATCGTTGTTTATAATTTTTTGAAGGTTCCCGAGGAACTGGCGGCAGAAATTTCAAGCAAAACAGAGACCCCTGCAATAGTGCATGCTGTTTCGAAGGGGAAAAGGAATATATTGGGATTGGAGGCTTGGATTCTAAACAGAGCATTAGGTGGTGAGATTGCCACGGGCGTGTCCTCCAACAATAATAAACCCCTGGCATATAACGTCTTCGACAAACATCCTGATTTTAAAAACCGTTATGGATGGAGCCTCGTGGTGACCCAAAAGCATTTGAAATCATTAAAGCACATCAACATTGGCTTCCTGATGGTGAATTTAACCAGGGTTAGTGGTTTAACTTAATTTAGTTTTCCCATTCGATTAAACTTCTATGTTTCTTTACTATATTAACTAATATTCTGGGTAACAATCATATAAACAAGGGAGCAATGATGGGACCACACTGGAATCCACTGGCAACAGAGATAGCAATGGTATTGCAAGGGGAAGGCATGGTTCGTGTGGTATGTGGGAGCAGCAACATGGACAAGTCTAAATGCCAAAACAGGAGGTTTAAGGTGAAGCAGGGAGATGTTTTCATGGTTCCTAGGTTTCATCCAATGGCTCAGATGTCTTTCAACAACGAATCTCTGGTTTTTCTGGGCTTTAGCACTACAATGAAGAAGACCTATCCTCAATTCTTAGCCGGAAAGAGATCGGTGGCACAAATTATAGATAAGCGCATACTGGCGGCATCTTTCAATGTGAGTGACAGGACAATTAAGCAACTCTTGCGTTCCCAGGAAGGATCCATCATATTAGGGTGTGCATCATGCGCAGAGGAAGAGGAAAGGATCATGATAGAAGAATACAAACAGAGAGAAGAGAAGAAAAGGAGAGAGGAGGAGGAAGCAAGAAAGAGAGAAGAGGAGAAGAGGAGACAGGAAGAGGAGGAAGCCAAAAGGAGAGAGGAGGAGGAAGCGCGAAGAAGAGAACAAGAGGAAAGGAGAGAGGAAGAAGAGCGAAAGAAGGAGAAAGAGAAAAGAAGAGAAGAAGAGAAGAAAGCAAAGGAAGAGCAAGAAGAGGCTAAGAGACAACAAGAAAGAAGGGAGGAAGAAAGGAGGAGGGAAGAAGAAAAGGAAAGAAAGCATCAACAAGAAGCTAAAGAGGAAGAACAAGCTAGAAGAAAGCAAGAAGAAGCAGAAATGGAGCAGGAACAAGCTAGCAAGGAACAAGAAGAAAGGGAAAGAAAGCGTCAACAAGAAGAAGCTAAAGAGGAACAAGAAAGGAGAGACAAAGAAGAAGCGGAAAGGAAGAAGGAGCAAGCTAGAAAGGAACAAGTAGAAAAGGAAAGGAAGCATCAACGAGAAGAAGCTGAAGAGGAAGAAGAACAAACTAGAAGAAAGCAAGAAGAGGAAGCAAAAATGGAGCAGGAACAAGCTAGCAAGGAACAAGAAGAAAGGGAAAGAAAGCGTCAACAAGAAGAAGCTAAAGAGGAACAAGAAAGGAGAGATAAAGAAGAAGCGGAAAGGAAGAAGGAGCAAGCTAGAAAGGAACAAGAAGAAAAGGAAAGGAAGCATCAACGAGAAGAAGCTGAAGAGGAAGAAGTACAAGCTAGAAGAAAGCAAGAAGAGGAAGCAAAAATGGAGCAAGAACAAGCTAGAAAGGAACAAGAAGAAAGGGAAAGGAGGCGTCAAATGGAGAAAGAAGAAGAGGAGCAAGAACAATATACTAGACAAGAAGAAGTGGAAAGGGAGAAGGAGCAAGTCAAAAAGGAACAAGAAGAGAGGGAATGGAAGGGTCAACTGGAAAAAACAGAAGAGGAGAAAGAACAAGTCGGAAGACAGAAAGAAAAAGAAGCAACAAGGGAGAAGGAATGGGCTCGAAAGGAACAAAAAGAAAGGAAAATGAGACGTCAAAAGGAAGAAGCAAAAGAAATGCAAGAACAGGCAAGGAGACACAAAGCAGAAGTGAAAAAGGAGCAAGGGCAAGCTAAAAAGAAAAAACAAGAAAGGGAAAAGAGGCATCAAAAGGAAGAAGCCGAAGAAATGCAAGCACAAGCAAGGAGACACAAAGCAGAAGTGAAAAAGGAGCAAGAGCGAGCTACAAAGGAACAAGAAGAAAGGGAAAAGAGGCGTCAACAAGAAGTAGAAGAAGCAAAAAGCAAGCAAAAGCGAGCTATAAAGGAACAAGAGGAAAGGAAAAAGAAGCGTCAACAGGAAGAAGCAAAAGAGGAGAAAGAACAAGGTAGGAGACAGCAAGAAGAGGAAGTAGAAAGGGAGCAAGCGCAAGCTAGAAAGGAACAAGAAAAAAGGGAATGGAAGCGTGAACATGAAGAAGCAGAAGAGGACCAAGAACAATATCAAAGACGACAACAAGAAGAAGCAACAAGGGAGCGAGAGCAAGCTCGAAAGGAACAAGAAGATTGGGAAAGGAGGCGCCAAAAGGAAGAAGTAGAAGAAATGCAAGAACAATCAAGGACACACAAAGAAGAAGCAAAAAGGGAGCAAGAGCGAGCTAGAAAGGAACAATTAGAGAGGAAAAGGAGGCATCAACAAGAAGAACAAGCTATGAGACACCAAGAAGAAGAAGTTGATAGGGAGAAGGAGCAGGCTACGGAACAAGATAAAAGGGAAAGAAGACGCCAAAAAGAAATAGAAGAGGAGCAGGAACAATCAAGAAGACATCAAGAAGTAGAAAGGGAGCAAGAGCAAGCCAAAACGGAACAAGAAGAAAGGGAAAGGAAGCTTCAACAGGAAGCTAAAGAGGAAGAGGAGCAAGTTAGAAGAAAGCAAGAAGAAGGTGCAAAAATTGAGCAAAAGCGAACTACAAAGGAAGAAAAGGAAAAGGAAAGAAGGCGACAAGAAGAAGAAAGCAGGCATCAACAAGAAGCAAAAGAGAAAAGCAAGCTATGAGACCGCAATAAGAGGAAGAAGAAAGTGAGCAGAAGCGAGCTGGAAAGGGAAAGAAGGCATTGAAAGGAAGAAGCAGAAAAGGTGCAAGAGCAAGCTTAAAAACTGTAAGACGAAAAATAAAATAAAAAATAAAAAGTCAAGCTGATACGAACTTATCATATTTTGTTATTACTAGATTTGGGTGGTTTCATGCATTGCACATAATGACAAGAATGATACTATTTATATCTTATGAATATAGTACATCTTTTATATTGATATTGATGATGATTGTCTACTTCAATTTTATTTAGGGTCACATTATAATGTTCAGGCATGGCATGTGATGCAAATTATAGTAGAGCGGGAAAATAAATGAAATTTCTGGGGATTATAAAAGATGAACATAATCTAACATACTAATGTCAAGGTTTGTTGATTTTCAGCGGTCAAATAAGTAATACTGACTAACGTTAATTATTTATTTGAGACCGCACGCATTTCGTATAACATACCCGGTTTTGAGCAGTCTACCAAATCTTAACTTGCCCACGAGAAAATACTGTATAATAGTATAACCAAGCAGCCATTACAAAAGAGTTTTTCCAGAACGCCGCGAGATCAGGGAACGATATGAAATGTAATGGCGTTCCAAGAAATTAAACAAAATTGTTCAACTCTAGCAACTCCAATTCGAGTGAAAAATTACAAGTAGATGAAGATCATGCAGGTTAAAAGGGGAAAATAATGTTGGACATGGCTAGCTAAACAGACGCTTTAAAAATATGACTATGCAGGCTGAGGCAAAGGTAAAGACTAAAGAGAAACTCACCCACTAATTGAGCTCTGTTATATACGAAACGACAACCGTAATGTCATCAAGCTTGCCACCAAGATAGCGGAACCCAGCTTCTTGAGCAGCAACAGAAAATGGTGTCCGCCGATTCCGGTCCATTGCCCTATGACGAGCTAGTGCTGCTATCTTCTGAGCAGCTATTTGCGGTTCCAGTCTATCCCTTACTGCCTCCGCAACAATCGCAGTAATCTCATTGTTGTACAAGTTGTCAAATAGTCCATCGGTTCCAGCAACGACAACGTCTCCCAGGGCGACAGGCATTACAGAAACCTGGATACATTGTTGTAGAAGATATGCTGAATTCACTGTCAAATATTCCTCAAATTTTAGGAACAAATAAACTTCATCTCGCCATAGGGCCTCTAAGAGAAAAAACCAAGGGCCATAGCTCCGGGATAAAACTTGAGCTCATTTGACAATATCTACAGGGTATGTCAGTACAGGTGAAACTAGCATGGGGTAAAAGGACTAAATCTCATCCGAGATTTGAAACAATAAGAATTCCATACTTGCTTGGAATGGTAATAATAAGGGATAATTGAAAATGAGATACACCTTACTTCAATCAATTAGTAAAATTACCTGACAATGTCACTCCTCCCTCTAGTTTCCACCCACCCCACCAGGCTGCAGGCACACACTGGTCTCCCACCAAAAAAAGGGGGGGGTGCCCAAAAGACAATAACATATCATCTTAAATGCCAAGTTTATTTTCTCATTTGCCTCCATATGTTAACCACCAACCATGGCATTGGTTAAAGAGTTGGTTACTCTGCTTCATGATGACTAGGTCCCCATGCCATGGGAAAAATGAGATCAAAAATTGTACTGGTATTGTATGCAGATACTCCCTAAAATAAAAATAGCAAAACTCAAGCCAACAAAAGGTGAATCCTAAGAGTGATATTGGTGGGTGAGTTTACCTCGCCAGAGCTAGGTAGATCGCCTCCATTGCCACTCTCCAATTGATATGTAAAATTGAAGCCATGCTGTTGAAAATGGGACTTGAAAACGGTGCGTCCATCTCTAATCACAACGAATCCACTGTCACCCAGGTTAATAGCATGTAGTCCCTAGAACAAGCCAAACACAATGCAAATAAAAATTAGTTGATGTTACTTTCTTTTAACTCAAGAAAAGAAACTACCCCAGTTAGTTGTAAAGATAATTTGACTGAACCCCAAAAAAAAAAAAGTGCTTCAGTCAGTCGAGATGCAAACTAAACTAAACATCAGTAATCAATGTTGAGAAATTATGAGCAGATTATATAACAGTACAGAGGAAAAAAATATGTCCATGCAATCATTGTCGTTTTATGGTCCCCCGGGATTAGTTCCGTCGTGCTTCCGTTGTTATTATATATATATATATATATATTAAAAAATCAAACCTTATCAGTAAGGGCAATGATACAAGCTGTTGATGAACCCTTGGCCTTTGTACTTGAGTGAGCCCTCTCTAACACCCTCAACGGATTAATAGAACCTTGGGGCTCCTCTTGAATTGCTCTTACTAAATTAGACATAAGCTCACGAGCAAAAATTCCTGCATTAACACCAACATCAGCCCAGCCCCCTACACCATCTGCAACACCGATTGCTTGTTTGTCCGTGCAAATAAAATGAGCATCTTCTCCTCCCGTCTCCTCCTTATCTGGATGAGGCAGGTAACATGATCCTGCGACCAGCGTCAAGGTCCTCTCACTTCCAATGGGTCTGAAAGTAAAACCTCTCAGGTCATGTCAGTTTTTAACAGTGCCCAAGAAGTTGGGAGTTTTTTTTTGGGGGGGGTTCATAAGATTCTTCCTTCATTGACAAAGCCATGCATTTAACTGGTCACAATTTAAGATAAATCATCGCACTCTCAAATCTCATATAATCATTTGCAGTCTCAGCGTCTCTTTTAAATCACAAACAGGACAAAAAGGTTACCAGAATAAATAATTTAACAATGAAGGTTGTCTCATTTATTTTAGATGATACAAAGTAAAGATCACATACTGCTCAGGAGAAATGGAAGAATTTGCAAGTTGGTCATCAGAAGTGTTGCCATCACATGAGACTTCTTGTGCAGCTCCAGCTGAGAAACAAGCAGGAGAGGTAACAGAGAAATTCTTCAGCCATGGTCCATGATGCAAGCTAGAGTTCTGCTTCCTCCAGTTAGCATAAAAAATGGAATATCGAGAACTCAGAGGACCATTCAACGGTTCTGGCCTTCTACTATCCACACTAGCTCTCAGGCAACCTTTGCGACTTCTGTCTTTGAAGTAAACACCAGTATGCTTAGTGACAATGTCTAGTGCACTGCTGCAACTTGTGGCAATATCATCCACATAGATATCTCCCAGGAAAGCTTTGGAAGTCGAAGCAGCCATCGATTCTCTTCAAGGTGTGAGGTTTAAAGGAGAGCGAGTAGTGCCTGATAAGAATGAAGTTGAATGTAGTAAGAAAAGATAAGGCTGAATTTCTGTACAAACCTAGCACTCCTTGATGCATAGTTATTGCTTTTGAATAAGGTAGCGTTCAGGCTGAGTGAATGCCAGAAGCCATCTGTTTCCTTGTGCAAAACTTTTATCAATTCAGTTTCTCTCTCAAGGAATACCAAACCTTCGGCGTTACTTAGACTACAATGCCTCATTCGGTCTTTCCGTACCTAAGTAGGAAACTCCCCATCAAACCTTGTCTGGAGAAAAGGAATAAATTCTCTAAAATTGAAAATCCATGAATTTCATGAAATTTGTTTTTTAAAAGAAGAAGAAAAAGAAGAAGATTTTATAAAAAATAATAAAATGAACAAAAATACTAAAAATGAAAAACCTCACATAAATTCATGAATCTTGATTTCAGAAAATTTAAATTCTAAGAAATACACTTCTCCAATTCAGGATAAAGAGGGAAAGTTTGTACACAGGTGTTTTGAAATTTTTTTTTGGGAAAATTTGAATCTTAAATGAAAAGTGAAGTAATTCATAGGTATTTTACAGGATGTGAATTTGAACTCGTGATGTTAGTATTTTAATAGAATTTCACCATTTTTTTGTTAGAAAGAAGTGGCAAGTATTTCCATTTTTTTATAGTTTACGAGAGTTCATAGCCCAAGGGAGAGGGGGTAAAGTTTCCAGAGTTCAGTTGAGCTAAGAATCTACGACAACTCCTTTCAATTTCTATCCGCGTAATTTTCTTCCCGCCATGTCCGTGAAGGAGCGCAGTTTTATTTAAAATTTATTCTATCCAATAAAATCACTGCATAGTTCATACGCCGCCAGCTATTTATGTAAGCAAAATTCCCACAGATAAAACCCAATATGGATAAAAAGAGACGCAATGTATCAACAGGAACAATAAATGAGTAGCAGCAAATGAAAAAATTGAAGGCGAATTTGAAGAGTGAAAAGCATGCTTACCAGATAGGGAAGTGAGGGAACACGAAATAAATGGAGCAGAAGAGGGGATTGTCAAAAGGAAGCTCCGAAGATAGCTAGAACTCGAACTTCTTAATCTCCTCCGCCTCGTAAGGTCCACAGACGCCTAAACCAAAATGGGAGGGAGATAAGAGTTTCAAGTTTTCAATTGAACGGTGCCTTTGTCACTGTTTCCTCCGTGTCTCGGGTCATGAGGATCGCCCAATTGTCCCATTATCTCAACCATATTCCTATCTTCACCCGGGGGAGAAAAAACATTTCCTTGCGCTTATTCTTGTCCACTCTTCCATCTAAAAATGAAACAGGCTCAAAAATCAAATTCAAGGTGTCTCAACTGTAAGACATAAATTGATTATTTTTTATTTAGTTTGATTTCACATTAGCCCTTATTGATTGCGTTTTCCCACCACAATTTATTTGATGACCGATATGAAACAAAAATTTCAAAAAAGGACGAACGAGTTATCTTTGAACAGTACAATCGTTTTAAGCTTAACAAATGATAAATCTATTTTCACCTGTATCTCCTGATACTCTCTCCATATTAAATTATAAAATATTTTTAAAAAAAAAATTCATCTTAAAATATAAAATATTTTAAATAAATTAATATTTTAATAAATGTATTAATTTTAATATTATTTTTTTATACTTAATTTCAATTATTTTTTTAATATATTAAGCGATGGGCATGTTGAGAAGTTCATATTTTAATTTTAAAAAAATAAAATTATTAAATATATTTAATTAAAATTTATTAATATATAAAATTTTATTTAAAAATATTTTATAATTTAAAATAAGGGGTATTATGTCACAGCCTGCAGGGCATTGAAAGGGGTGAACATGACAGGATGGCGGCCAAAGGGGACCTCTTTTTTTTTTTTTTTTTGTGAATGAGTTATTATATTAACTAGAACTGTGAGCACTGATCAGTGATCATTCTTTTGGGAAATCTGGCGCGGGAAGCTTCGAATGGATTGGAATGTCTCGTTTGAATTTCATGTACTAACGCTACACACGCCTCTTTTAAGATGAGATATAAAAAAAGTTTCCAGAAACGGGGTAATTGAAACTTGAGAGGCTTCCTCATCCTGATAAATACTTACATTAGAGCCCAAATACATCCAACCTGAATAGATTCAAATCCAAATAGACTTGATTTTTTAAAAAATTTAAATAGTTAAATTTGACTTGAATTTTTTTTCACTTTAAATAACTCAAATAGTCAAAATTTATTTTTAAAATTAATTATTTTATTTTATAAGAAATATAAAATATATTTTTTGATTCTTAAATGATACATATGATTCAAATATATGATATTTTAATATAAAAATATTTAAAATATATAGAATTAATTAATATTTATTATATTTTATATATTTTTAAAAAATAAAAAATATTATTTAGGTATTTAGGCTGAGCCCTTGCCAAATCAGGCTTGGCACAAGCATTAAAAGAAATTATATTTTTTAAGCTTGATTCTAATTTATTTTTTTTTTTTTTTGGTTTTGGGTTAATCTGTTGAGATTGGTCTGAATTATTGGATCTAATTTATATACATATTTTAAGTTACTTTTTTCGTTTAAAAATATAAGGTATTTTTAATAGAATTTCACCCCAATAAAATTGTTACCTACTTTCAAACTAAACTTATCTTTTTATATTTACCTCTATTAAATACTCTATAATAAATATAAAGTTATTATCAACAGAGATACTTTTACAAAAAAGATAATGATTACACCTGAAAAGATAAAAAATGTTTTATATTTTTTAATATTCAATTTCTTAAAAAAAATTTTAATGGAGGGAGTACCAAAAAACTAATACTTCACTTGTGCAGACGTCACTTCTTAGGAAATCTTTTTTTTTTAAAAAAAAAAAAAGACTAAGGAAATGTACTCCCTATCATGGAGCAACAAACATATTATCAACTCTGCTGCAAGTGATAAAATATATATATATATATATATATATATATTGCTTTAGTGATCTAATTGATCTAAATTATTTTAATTCTTAATTTTTCAGAAATAAGAAATATCATCACGAGTGTAATTGTGAGGTTTTTTGCTCACTTTTCTGAAGATTTGAGTTCAAAATTCCATAAAATAAAATAATATCCGCACACATGCTAGAATCTGTATTCCATTTGGGATAAGATTTTACACGTAATTCAGTACTTAAATAAATCAAATCCCAATCTACCCAGATTTTTCAAGGAAAGAATAAAATAAAAATATTTGTTCACGTATGTATCCTTTTATTATAAGCAATCTAATCTAATAAAATATTTTTCTTCTAGTGAGCGGTGCAACCGCAAGAGGGCCTTCATCATTTTTAGAAATTGCGCAACCGGGCAGCCAGTCAATATGTTTGGGCCTTCGCTGAATAAACTGAATGCCTGTGTTGTAATGGGCCTGAATCTGTCAAATGCGTAATAGACCCAATAGGATACAAGGACGAATCGCTCAAAATATAATGGGCTATTTTATTTTTTTCTTGGTTTTGAAGAAAAACAAGAAGGTGCCCATGTTTTCTATAGAGTTTGGAGGAAGACGTGATATTCATGATTCACAAATATTGTTGTTTCCTTTGGATTATACGCATATTGATGACGATTTTAAGGTGTAGCTTTAATGTTCGTCAAGGTTAAAGTATATTTCTATCTCGTAAGTATCATCGAAAGAACTATGAGCGTTTTGAAAAGGATTATAAAGCAACATAAAGTATAATATTTTTAAAATCGGTGCCATGTTTTTCTTTTAACCAGTTAAAAGTTTATAGGTTGGAAGTCTTGTTGCACCCAATGTTAAACTACTGAGGAAAGGGGACACACTACACCATGTTAAAATATCATGTGCTACATTACTTGATTCTTTTTTGGGAGTACTTTTTATGCAAACGTGAACTTTTAACTCTGCTTTTAATATGAAGCCTAGTGAATGTAGAATGAAATCTTAGAAAGTCATTCTCTCACTCTAAAAAACGGTTGAAAGTATTTATTTCACAAAATTTTTTTTAAAAAATACTTGATCTTGAACTTAATTTAATGACTAATTCAGTTCTCAGAGCACTGTTTTGCGTTAAAAATACACTTTTTGTAACGCATGTTTAAAAGAGGGTCAGTTGAATAATAGCCATGGGCACAAATTGTAGCGTCTTGTGTTATTAAATGAATTTAATTTAAAGTTTGTTGGCTTAAGAGATTAGTGTAAGCTCTGCAGCGCATCAAAAGGAAACTCACACTCATACAGACAGGCAACTTGCCATGTGAGCATTTATGCGAATCAAAGGAAAAGAAGCTCTTGTCAACATCGAAGTGGCATGTCGACAATCATAAAATGCCGAACAGAACCTAAGCAGTGCGAAGGCAATAATCCATTCAAAGATCGCGAATGTTAAAAGTTAAATAAAAGAGTCTGTAAATGCGCTTTTGTTTTGGCTATAATCTACTACAACATGAGAAGTAAAGCCAGAAATAAAAGTCAAGTTTAAAAAGTCGAGCCTGAAAATCCTGTTTGAATAAAAATTAAGGTGTTACAAATTATTTTTTTTAAAGTAACTAGATTTAAAGATCTGACCTTGATAAGTTCTGTGTAAAAAAACTCGGGCCCGAATTGCTCTACAAGCTTGGATAAGTCAGGTTATCTTATATACACATATACACACACACACATACATACATATATTTAATTAACAATGATACAATTTGGTTAATATTTATTATAGGTGATAAAGAAGAAGTTACGGAAATAATTGACATTAAATCTTCACTTTCATTTTTAATAAATGGACCTACATTTGAGGAATCTAATATTTTATTTTTAAATGATGATGAGGAGGATTTAAATTTACATTAATAAAGATTTAATTTTTATCTTAAATTTTAAATTTTTATTGAATTTTATGTTAAAATTCATGTGAAATTTTAATTTATTTTATGTTAAATTTTAAAATATTTTATTTAAATTAACATGTTAAATTTTTTTTAAAAAAATGGTTTAAGGGCCCAACTCAGCCTTGTAGATAAAGGCTGAATTTTAAAATTAAATTAAATTAAATTTTACGTAACAGAATTTTAAAACCTTAGCCCATGAGAGTGGGACTCATAAGGGCCAGCTTAGCCCAGATTCCTACCTCTGATGACAAGTAGCAGTAAAAAAAAAAAAAATTACGTCAGGTGGCACCTGATACATACAGAAGCGCTAGGGGTTGGAATGCACTGTTGATTGGGTGTGAATGTCGTACATGGTGTGGCCTGACAAAACTCATATTTTATATGGCACGTTAATTACGTGGGACTTGAAATAATTGAGGGGCGAGAGCCAGGGATTGCGTAGTAGTAGTAGGAGTGCAGTACGCAAGAGAGGATGAGGCGTGACCATGGAAAATTCTTCAATCAAAACGCCTTCGCCATGTGTGTGTGAACACGTGGCATTCAAAATCCATCAAACTCATTTGGTGGTCGCCCACGCCACAAGGTCTTCCTCTGCATAGCCTCCTCTACATTTTTTTTTGCCATATTTTAAAAATTAATTGGATTGGACAGTGTACTAGTTGGAATTATATATTTATTTTAAAAATATAAAATATTTTTAATTAAATTACATTTCTAACCAAGTTAGATGATTATTTTTAAATTAATATTATCTTTTCATCTTTATTTAAAGTTAAATGATTCATATCTCATTTAAAAATAAATGATTGAATGATTTATATTTTAATTTGAAAAAAATTTATTCACTCACATATTAAAAATATCTTATATTTTTAAATATATAATTTAAAAAAATGTATTATAATTTTTTTGTTTGTATGGAGAAGTATATTTTAAAAATGGGTTGTCTCTATTCAATCAGGGCTGATTCTCTTCTCCGTTTTCTCTCCAATCTCCCTTTTCCCGAGCTTGGTCCGTGCACGTCCTCTCATTTTCTATATATGATTCCAGTAATTCAGATTTTAGTATCTTATTTGTCATATTTTTAGAATATCTTTAATGAATGATGGTAATAGTGCGACAGACACGGTTAGTTGTTGGGGTGACATTGCTTCGTGGGATGGATTATGACTTTTTTGGCCCTTCTCAGATTGTTTGTATTGATATTCTTTGTATTCTCCCCAGCTATTCTCTATTTTTAATTTACTTCTCTTTTTAATCGTTTGAATTGAATTTGAATGATTTAGCTTTTCTTTTTATTTGAAATTTAAACAGTAAATATTAGTTAAGTTTTTTTTTAAAAAAAAATAGATAAGATAAAACAATTAAATTTAAATCATCTTAATTCATTCAAAGCAGATTAAAGTTTAAAAAAAAATTAAAAAAATCAATTTATTATTTTCGTCTTTCGTTTTTAAAATTCCAAAAAAGGGGAAAAAAATGCTAGCGCAACAATCGTGATACCAGATCCGAACATTTAAAAATAGCAATGCTAATGGAGATCCAGGCAAATGGTTGCTTTATATCTTGCCAAAGTCGAGATGGGTTAGACTACATATTGATGGCTCTGTTAATCTCAACGGAGTTGCGGCTTGTGGTGGACTTATTTGAGATGATCAAGACAACTGAATTAGGGATTTTTCTAAAAGTATTGACTATCTACCTAGCACGATTGCAGAGCTAATAGGAATTTTGAAAAGTATCAAACTTTGTTGAAATGCCCAAATCCCTAAAGTCAACGTTTATTCTCATTCTATGGAGGCCTTATCTCTCATTGACCAGAGCAATACTTATAATCACCCATATTCAGTCATTATCAAAAACATAAGAGATATTACCATGTGCAATTGGGAGATAACTTTTGAACATGTTTTCAGAGAAACTAATAGATGCGCTAATCTTATGCACACAAGGCGTCATTGAAGAATTTTGATATTTGTCTTTTTGATATTTTACTAATTAATTGTATAAGTTTTATGATTTCTGACCTTACCTAATTTCGATATTTGTATGGTTTTACCATGATCTTGTATTAAAAAAAAATGATGAAATTTCATCAACGGGAAATTTATGTTTACTGAAAATGATTGTGTGCTTCTTGTTAGTACAGTAATTATTAGCCTCAACCATTAGAAAAAAGTCCTCCTCCCAAAAAAAAAAAAAAAAAAGAAAAGCTCGAAATCGAAAAATTAACACTAACAATTGTGACGAATTAATGCCTCCGATTGCAGTGTCATTTTCATTCTGTAACTGTAGATATTAAAATTGAGAAGGATGGAATACTGAAAAGGTAAACCATTTTTGAACAACACGTAATCCGATTCATTCTTAAACACCACCTATTCCGAATGGCCAATCAAAGTGGGAAATAAATAAAAAAATGGCAGAAGCAACAAATTTGTTGACCCACAGGCAGGCGAGATTGATCGTGACAGCATCACCATTTATTATGAGAATATGAGAACGAAACAATTGCCACCGGCTTCCTCCGCCTCATCGCACCGTGGAATAGTTATTACTTTACTACTCTTTCTATATAAGTATTACTATTTTCCGGCATATTTATTAAAAAAAAAACTTGATAGTTAAAATAGGTTTGAACTTTGAAGCTAGTATGAACGTATAATATTACAATTTTATACCAGAAAGATCAAAAACTAATCTGAATCAGCATTAATGTTGCTTCATTTGTCCAGCTCGGAAGTCGGAACTGCTTAAGCTACATCAATCCCTTTATTTGATCCTTTAATTTAAAGACCAATGCATTTCCGTATATTTTACACGTGTTGAAGACTTACTCCATTTAATACTTGATAGTTATGAAAGTTCTCATTTTCTATCATCCTAAAACAATACCTCCCTCTTCATTTAGCAGTCTAGGATACTAGAAAAATAAACGAATGTGCCGTCAATTGAAAAAGAATCGATCCGGTCAACAAAATTGAAGGAACTGGACACACACACACACACACACACACACACTCTCTCTCTCTCTCTCTCTCTCTCTCTCTCTCTCTCTCTTTTCCAAATGCACTCTGGATGCATCTAAACAGGCAAGGAGCAGGATACTAAGGCCGTTCATGATCCACAAGAGACACTGCAGGCCGAAGACTCCATTAACATTATAAAAGCTCTCTTGATGATAAGGCTAAGTATGCAGAGGAAAAAAGCTCACATCAGTCCTGCCCCTTTTGCCCCCTTTCCAGGGAAAATTGGAATGGAACGAAAGCCAATGGAACTTTAATTAATGCTCTATACAAAGTCTCTACCACACTAGATAATGACACAGCACATTCTCCAGTAAAATAATTATTAAACCACATACTGCCAATGGGCATACGTCCAAATCCACCTTGTGACTGCAATAATCAACACTTGGCGGAAACTCGGCCTGAAAAAGTTGAAGGAACTAACATCATCAGAGTTTCCTGATTTATGCCTACAAGCTACGGCTATGTACCAAATCATCCACTATTGGCATTCATAAAATGACCAAAATTGCAGATGCCCAACATACAAATGGAGCAGACCTGATCACCAAATACGCCATACTGTTTTGCAAAAAGACTTAAAACACAACCGGGTTTTATAAAAAGCTTCCACATATCCGCAATCCACCATATCAAGTGGTCCAGAGCAAGCAGGCTTAGTGTATGAATGGAGGAGGCTCTCCGGGCATTTTCATTTACTATCAACACAGTCCTTTCCACCTTTTGGGACATATCATATCAAGTCTGATCTCACCCCAGATTGTACAAGGATTACAGCCAGACAATGTCACGAGCTCCTCCCAATATCTTTACCTGAAATCTCTCCACTACCGAAGGGCCTTGCTGTGGCAGAAACGTCCAGACCACTACCAATGGAAGTGATTAGTGCTGATAAGCCTCCACTAGGGGTGCCACCACCCGCAGCCATCCCCAATCCCAGAAAGTCCAGGGTCGTGTGCTTGGGACCGAACACAGAGGGCGTCCCCATCATTAATTCCTTCAATCCAGAGCCACCATCACATGGGAGTCCAAGCCCGAGCCCTGCATGAACTGAAGCATTCTCCGGTTCTACTTGCCTCTGACCCCATGGCATGTCATCTAGCAAGCTTAATGATGAAGATGATGAGGAAGATGAGACTATGCCGAACCCACGAAGCAGCGATGCATTTGTTGCTGCTGCACCCATCTGAGCAGCTTTCTGCAGTAGCGCAGTGGCGGACATAGCTGGCTGTGGTGGTGGGGCATACTGACGACGTTCTTGCCCTCCTGTTCCAAAGATTGACGACCCATTGCTAGGGGACAGGCAGAGAGAGATGGGCTCCGAAGATGAAGGCCCTGAGAGCTCTGCAGGACGATCCGGACGAGCCATGGCCCTAATAAACGCAGGAGCTTGAGGTTGAGGAGGTTGCAGGCTTCCGGATGCAGTTGAGGAAGCAAACAAGCTTGCAAATACAGTACTGCTAGTACCACCATTACTGGTTGAGCTAGTACTGCTGCTGCAGCTCCCATTTAGAGCAGCAGAGGCCTGTGGTTCCTCAATGATTTGTGAAGGATTTTCGGGCAACTCTGAAAAACCAGAACCAAATTAAAGTTACGACTAATATGAATAAAATAGAGAGAAGAGAGGAGCAAAAGTGGCCACTTAGATCGTATGAGTTTGCAAAAGTTTAGGCCTTTTATTTTAAATATTGAAAGTTCTTAACAAAAGAACAAATAATGTTTACTTTACTAAACCCACTCCCCCTCCCCCCCAAAACAAGGCTTTTTCTCTTTTTAACTTTTGAATCTTTTGAAGTTTCTTTGTCAACAATTGCATAGTTTAGATCACACAGTTCCGAACAGCATATTTTAGCAGTTCGTTTTTATTAATTAGCTTTCCGAATCTCAGATCACTTATTCCACTGTTATGATAGATATCCAGATGAAAACAAAAGACGATAACAGACAAAAACTACTAGGCTCCAAGGTTTTCGAGAGAAACAAACAACTCTGTTGTCTGGTTTAACTAAATCACATCAGACGAAAGCGGGACCAAAAGGATAGCATGTTATCCAAAATCTGCTGATATCTACCTGGATTTTTCGTCTGCAAGGCAGATGGCATGACGCTATTTGACTTCGGAGCTGGAGGCGGGGCTGTAGGCGGTGGCGGTGGCGCCGGCGCCGGAACTGTTGGGGAGGAATCGCCGCTTATAATTTTTGGGTCCGACTCTGAATTAGGCTTCTCAGGAGCTTGAGTCTGGGTTTGAGTCTGAGGCTGGGTCTGATTTCTTGCACTCTCCTCTGCCAACGCATCACAGAATGCCCTGTGCGTGATGAAACTATCCCTCCTTCCAAAAATCAAAACCAACCAGAGAAAAAGATTTACAAACCTCAAATCTAGAGAAAAAAATTACAGCAGAAAACAGAGGAACAAAGGAGAGCAAGGATAGCCAGAAAAACCTCGAAAACAAAGTCCCACAATCGCATTTGTACTCTCTGGTACCACAAATCTTCGAGTGAGCCTTCCAATCTGACTGAACTGCATATTTCTTTGAACATTTGTCACATTTCCACTTCTTCTCACCGTGTTTTCTACAGAAATGCTTCTTTATTCCGGTGAGATCACCCAGAGCTCTGGAGGGATCATGATGGACGCAGGTTGGCTCGGGACACACATAGACTCTTTTCCTCACTTCCTTGCTGGACCTCTGCCTCAGCTTCCATGGCAGATTATGACCCCGTCGATGGAGCTGGAGATTCTGATCCCTCTGAAATCCCTTGTTGCAGATTTCACACACGAATCGGTTCGTCGCTAACAGGGTTTTTGGAGACAGTGCAATCACCTCCGCGTCTGGATCTGAATCATCCCCAAACATCGAAGATTCAGTTAGGAAAAAAAAGAAGAAGAAGTCCCAGACAAATAGTTAAATCAACCTCATGGTTTATCTGTTCCTACCTGGCATTCCGGGAAGATTTCTCTTCTTCTTAACAGTGGACTTTGGTGGAGCAGTCTGATTGCCAGAGGAAGAGACGCTAGCTTCCCCTGAAGCTGTTGAAGAATTGTCTAAATCAACTGGCATGGGGACCGAAAATTTCTCTGCGGTTGCTAGGAAATCAATCTAGCCAACAAAGAGGGAAAACTTAGGGATTTAGCCTCAGTGTTGCAAAGCAACCTTTTGAGAATGAAGTTCTAATTTTTCCACTTTCTTTTTCCCTTTTCCTCTTAGGGTTTCTACACTGTCTCAGCTTCTCTCTCGCTCTCCCTCTCTACATCTACCAGTCAATCTGAAATTATTTTCCCTCACCTTTATCTCATTAACCCACCACCTAACAGCTCTTATGGGTGTCTGACCAAAATTCACATTAACCAAAGAACTCAAATGATTAAACCCAATAGGCCAATAGCTTAAAATAAAGCTTTCTCGGCTCAGAAAACAAAACGAGAGTCAGACACACATCATACCCGCCAGAAAACTCTCGCCGGCCAATGACCTGTGATCTAACTGTCAAATTGAAGAACAGATCATCCACAACGCTTGAACCCAAAAAGAAAAAAGCAAATACAGAGATCCCGGCGGAAATTGCCGGGGCTTTCTGGCTTTTTGCGACACCGAGACAGTGCGTGCCTGAGTGCCTCAAGCAGCAGGGATGAGCTCAATCTCTTTCTTGTTTTCTCTTTCCAAGTTCTAAACTTTTCGGACGGCAGAAGAAGATATGATAAATGGGAAAGTCACGAAGCCAAAAAACAAAAAACAAAACAAAAAAACAAAACAAAACAAAACAACAATTATAGATGATTAACTATTCGGGAGTTTAATTAGCCGAAAAGAGCGTGGTTATGGACCTATGGTTGAAGTAAAAGGGGTGATCTACGAGTGCGTATTTTTGGGGCCCGACTTTTGGAAAATGGAGTGGCGAGGTTAGCTGTAACTTTTCGTGTCCAAGTTCGCATCCTCCACATGTCGAGGCCAGTGGAATGGTTTCTTCCTTCCTCCTTAGGTACACCACATAGCAGAGTGTCGGACGACTATTTACTTCGATGCTTGTCGTTTAGCGTTTCGCATTCCTGTGGAAACCGACAGGGCCATTCCGAGGGCATGAATAAAAAATTATGAGTAAATCAGCTTCGATTTTTATTAGAGGAACACAAAGTCAAAGAACTTTAATCAAAATAATACAAACTTTTCAGTCAGGATTTGCCCTCGTGCCCCTTGCTTCTTGTGCTCTTTCTTTTTCTTGCGCCCGTTTCTTTTCTTTAAAATGAATCAAATCAATGTAAATGCAAGCATCCTACGACTAGAAACGGTAGTTGAGTTATCGACTGCCCAGTCTTGGTGCCCTTGCTTTGCCCAGTCTCGTGGAAAACGGGTTAATCGTTTTTTTTTTTAACAAGAAAAACGCTATGGAGCAAAGCTCCTTGGGGGCCTGCGAATTTCTGATTACAGTTGAACTTGTTTTACTTATTTCCCGATTCAAATACCTGCATTCTCATTGTAAAATTTTTTATACTTCTATCGTGTTTATTAAAGCAGTGACCAAATATATGTTTGAAATATTAAAATGAAAAAACATATATTTTGATCTCTATGCTTTGATCATATTTTGTTATATGTTCTTATATTTTTTTTTGATATTTTGAATTCCTATATTTTTATTTTTTTGGTGTTTTACATTCATTCAAGATCCCTACACTTTATTTATTTTGTTCATTTAAAACTTAAAATATTAAAAAATAAAAATATAAAGATTTAAAATATTATAAAATATATATATTTATAATAAAATATGAACAAAGTGTAAGATAAAAAATTATGTTTTTTCAGTACTATTGCCCTTCCAATTTTACATTTTCTAAGCTAGTCTGTTTCCATCAAAGGATGCCTGGATGATTGGTTTGGTGCGGCCGACTCCGATTAAATTCAAATAATGGAGTTATCTTATATCTTTTCAAACTTTTTCTCTTTTTTGAGAAAAAGGTAACTTTCTTTTTTTTTTTTTGGAAAATGTAATAAATAACTCGGTTTGTATTTGACAAACATAAGTTTGTTGACTCTAGCCAAGTTTTCGCTTACAACATTCCTCTCATATTTTTTTTAACCCTTACTAAGTAGTTACTTATTTTCTCTTATTCTATTTATAAATTATTTTTAATATAATTTATTTAAATTTAAAAAAATTAAAATATTATTAACTTTATTTTAAAATTTAATAAGTTTTCACCTCTACTCTTTAATAAAGATGAAAGAAATTGTAATAATTTTTCTAGTGTTTAATGAGGGCGAAAAGGTAAAGATGAATATGAAAAATAGCAAAAAATTCTATAAATATGTAATATCTTGAGCTTTAAATTTGGAAGTTAATTGCTAATTAAAGGGTAATTAATAAATTTGATGATTAATTAATTTAATCATATTTTTGGGTTATTAATTGATATTTTGGATCATAAATAGCGTCAAGATTATACTAGTGTGGAAATTAGATTGGGTCAGATCAGGGAAGCAAAAGTGAGAATTTGCTCATGCGTCATATGTTGTAGCGCATGGCATGCTGGATAACATAAAAATGTGAAAATCATTAAAAAACTAGAATTTAACATTTGGAAAAGTGGGAGCCCGAAGGGGAATGTGGGGAGTTGAGCTAAGGCTTCAAATTGGGCCATATTGAAAGTTGAACTAGGTCTTCAATCGTTTGAGTAATATTACTAACTCCCTCTTCTCCTTTTCTAATTCATTTGTTTTAAGGTTAGAGGATTTGGAAATTTTAGATTTTAAGTTGACCTAAAACCTAAGAATTTGGATGTGATGTTTTAAGCTTAATTTAAGCCTTTTTGAGCTGAATAAATGTTAATTTTAAGCTTGAGTGTTAGGACATTGGGTTTGGGTGAATCCTAAGTAAATTTGGGATTGTTGGAGTTGTTTTGAGCTGTGTTACAACATAGAACAACTCTTAAAATGCTATATAGAGTTATTATAGGTTACTTTAAGCTACTACTAATTTAACGACAAAAGTTACGGGTTTTGAATAACTAAATTTAGTTAATTTGATTGATAGGTGCCTATATTAGGTATGAGAAACTAACATATGGTGCTTGAAATTGTATATTTACATGATTTGGTGCTTCTGTTAGTCATTGGGACTATTAGAGTAAATGTTATACTATGGGTAATCCTTTTGATAAAAAGGGGTTGAGATAATTGAATAATTCATTCTATCAATTAACTAGTTTAACTATGGATAAGTAAATCTTATAGCATAGGGGTGTGTGAGAGAGAGAAAGAGATAGAGATAGAGAGAGATTTTAATAAGGGCATTCAGGTGTCTAAAACTCTCACACGGTATTGGATTGAAATGAAACTTGTATCATTAATTAGCACACCAAATAAGCATTACGTGGACGCTTGAATCACTCAGTTAAACATTAGATGCAAACATGGTGTATATCTAAAGTTCGACTTGAAGAGCTATCATGACAACATTTGTTATCATGACAGGGGCACGTACGTTGTGACATGTTATGCACAAGCCACGATACATGGTGTAGAGGTTAAATTGCCCTCTTTATATCATATGCTACAGTGCATGGTATAACATTCTGATGTTTTAATCCTTGAACTAGTTGCTAATTAGGGGTGAATTAGCAATTAGTGAGTGATTAGAATTTTGGATGATAACTTGATGTTTTGACTTAATGGAGTATTGAATGAATATATATAGGGGAAGAATTGAGTTTCAAAATGAAGTGTGTGTCTAACATCATAAGTTTTCTTATTAGTAATTATCAGTGTTTTCAAGGGTAATTTGGTCAATTTAGATAAATTGTTAATTTAGTGAGGTTTATAGAGACTAATATGGTTTTTTGAATCCTTAGATAGCCTTAGAAGAGGATTAGATTGAGGTTCAAGTGGGCCATGACATGGAAGGGAGTTTAAAATTTTATAGGGTATTCTATGCCATGCGCCGCAGCGAGCGTGTCGACGTGCGGCGGCGTACGTGCAAAATCTGTACTTATCAGGCATGAAAAATAGATAAAAAATAAAACAGAAAAGAAAGGTTGAGGTAACCATATAGTTTATTATATTTATTAATTATTATAACTGTATAGAAGTAATTATAAATGATAAGGTTGTGGTTTTAAAGAGTTTTATGCATAATTTGACATTGTAAATGATTTTGGCATGAAAAATTGATTTGTAAATGGTTATTAATTTTAATTGAAATGTATATAATATGTATATAAGTTTGTGATGTGGAAATGTGATGGAAAGTAGTGAAAATTGTGAAAGAGCATGATCATAAGGGGTGGGAGTTCACTCGAGATATGTGGGGATATATGTGTGTAAAGATATGTGAGTAAAAAATTCATATGGTTAGGCTGACACCATAGAACATTCGGTGCAGCATTATATGAAACTGTTACCATGGCACATTCGGGCAGTCTGGCAACTTCCTAATACCCGTTAGGGTACGGTTAGGAGTCAACGATGCCTCTATCACAAGTGTGTGAAGAGGAAAAAATCATAGTCTATAGGTGGGTTAAATTACCTTTGGCTAGGTATTTCTACCACCGAAAGTATACTCGGGTCAACAAGTGGTTGATCCAAGAGAGCCTATAGTTTCATGTCAGGGAGTATTGAAAGTTCGGTGGTTAAATGATCATACTAGTATGAAACTATGTGTTTTGTTGACAAAAGATACAATTATCTCATGGTATACTTGTTATTACAATAGTTTTGATACTTTTTGATAGTTATTTGTGGTAATAAACATTTGATTAACTATATTGGTTACCGAGATATTTATCTCATTTCATGGTTATATTTTACAAGGAGGGCTCCGAAAGGGGAAAGAGGAAGGAAGGAGCATGTGAAGAGTGAAGAACATTGTAGTATAGCTCTTTCCTTTCTCCTTTTTGGTTTTGTAATGAATATTATCACTAAATATTAACAACTCAGGAACATGACATTATTTGAATATTACTTGTGTGAATCTTGTGATAAGTGTGTATATCTTAGTCCAAGATTAATATTATGGATTAAGTGATGTACATTTCAAGTGTTTAGAGTGTCAAAATAACCAATTGATTTGTCTGTTGAATTTTATCCGCCTTATTGTGTTATTGTCAATTGAGGGTTTGGTGGTCATTTTGAGTATAATTACTCAATTATGTGTTATGATTGAATTGTTAAGTGTGTATGATCCATTTGAGGTAGTCAAGGTGTCTATGGGGCTAATGGCATTTGGTATTATGAGTTGGACACCATGGTGTGCGATTTGTTATGAAAACAAACCATTTTGGGTTCAGGTGTCCATCTTTTAACGGATGATTGTTTGAGTACAAAACTGGTGCTATTAGCTAGAGTGCTTAAAGAGCTACATGTGAATATTGAACTGCTCAAATCGGATGTCGGATGGCGAAATGACACACTTTGAAATTTTAGAGAAAAGCCATAACAGCAAACTGCTGTCATGACAACAGGTGCATGCCACGATGCATGATTATTGTGCCGCAACTCTAGAGGCCTTTAAGGGATTCATTCCTCTGTGCCATCTGTCGCGGTGGGTAAGGCTTGTGTTGCAATAGACGAACCAGATAAGGGCAAAATGACTTATTTTAGTCTGTTTTGAAGAGAATTGATTTTCATGCTTTCGTGTTTACTCTTAACTAATTTTTAACCATGGTTTAAGCTCAAATTATATTTTTTAGAAAAGGAGATTTCTTGAGATCCCAATGTTTTACATTAATTATCTTTAAACCCTTAAGTTGTGATAACTTTTTCAGAGAATTTTATTTAACTCGAGTTATCACAATGATATGTGAGTGTTGTCTTGGTAATGTCAAGGCAGACA